TGAAAAGCACTCACCTCATAGTTCTCCTTTTAAGAAGTTTTACAGAACATATCATGATTAAAGTGGAACTCCGGGGGTTTATTTTTTAGTTTAGGAAGGAGTAGGGAAGGATTAGAGCCTTTGTCAAGTTTCCATTGCTAATCAGGGGAAAGAAGCCAGGCAGCTATTAAAAGATGACAGAGCTTCTAAACTTTCACCAATCTATCAAAAAAAGTTTGGCCTAGGTCAGGGATGGGCAAACTGCTGCCCTCCAGCTGTGGTGCAACTACGAATCCCATGAGGCTTTGCAAGATTCTCACAACCACAGACATGACTCCCGGAGAGAGATGCTCCATGTGATTTGTAGTTTCACCACTGCTGGAGGGCCGGAGTTTGGCCATCACTGGCCTAGGTCGTCATCTCCACCTACCGTGGTTCCCTGTGGGACAATGAGGCGATGGACGTTCATCAGGAGGTACATAAGGTGGAGCAATTGGGCTAGCAGAAAAATGAAGCTTTGTATATTAGAATGCCCTGGGTTTCAGGGCTTCCAAGGCACTCCGTAAGCAACGTCATGGTATGTACTGGCACCTAAGGGTGCCTGCATTTCTTTAATCATTTGTCAATTTAACTATATTTAGGTGCTGACAGCTTTGATTTAGATCAAAATGAGGTTAATGAATATGACCAGATCCCATACTGATCCAGGAGGACACGACCTAATCAGACAACTGAGAATTATTTCATGCAGTGAGCAATAGAAAGGACAGAGCATCTTGTGATGCAACAATGAATACATTTCCTGTGGGATCTGCTTGGTTTCTCATCTAGAACACGTATCTTCTTTGTTAAAGGGGACATGTCACCTGGCTCTAGGTGCCTGGCTCTAGGTGCTATTGATGCACACGCTTTTATTATTACCTAATCATCTAACATTATCTAACACACGTTGTTGCATGTATGCACATGTACTTAACACATTACAATAATGAAAAATAAAATCACAAGAATGAAAAATAAAATCACAAGTTATCTTTTAAAATTGCCTTAATGTCTGTTTCTGTGCTTAAGAACAACTGCATAAAAGTTAATGGGAATAGAACTCTATCCCTTTTTTTTTTTTTATACAATGTGATAAATCTCATGTTTATGTGTATTCTATTTTATTATTATGCTCTGTATTAAGTCCTATAGGGCCCTGTAACACTCAGTACTGCAGAAAAAAGCAGGATCATAGCAGCTTAGTAGCTATAAATTAATTTTTTACTTTGGTTACATTTATCTGTGGTCAAGATTCTGCATTTTAGTCATACATCTGCAAACATGGCCTAGGCTCTAGTCACACCAATGCATTTTTGTGTGTGATGGGTAGGGTTTGTTGTAGGCACAGTGTGTATTTTAGTCGTGCTTTCTGTGTGATTTATACACGTTACCATTGATCCCTATGTAATATGCATTTGGCTAGAAACTACACAAAAAATGGAGCAAGTATATTTTTTCCATGTGCCTTACCTATAACTCCCCAGATGTACAGATGTGAAGAGTGTTGTGGGTAAATCTATGAGTTCTACAACTGCTATTCAGCCATACTTGTAGAGAAAACTGTGTTACACTAATGTACTTTCTTATATATATATTGCACGTATCATATTACATTTGATTATAGGTCCAATTTAAAGTAGAACTGAAGTTAAAAGATTTTTTAGTTTTCGAAAGAATAAGGGAGGGTTGTAACCCCTGTTCTTCTTTTTTTTTTTTTTTTGCCGTCTGTGCCCCATTGGGGAAATTTCCCTTCACTTACTGTCCGATGGCCACAACAGGAAGTTAGAGGAAATCCCTCCAAAGTGAGGGAGATTGCTGCTGGTCAGCAGTGTCGATTTTCCCGTCGATTCCTGTTATGTGACAACCCAAAATTTGGGATTTTCTTTCACTGATAACTAGGGATGCACTAGTATCGGTGCTGATACCGAGTATTTGGGTTAGTACTCGTACTCGCCCAAATGCTCCGATACTTGCCTCTTTTACTGGAACTTCTGGGCAGAGGGATATCTCCGTAATTTCGACTTAGGAAGCCAGGCAGTGGGTTATGACCTCCCAGCTTCCTGATTCGCTAGGAAGCTGGCTTAATGTGTTGCTAACTAATCAGGAAGCCAGGCGGCACCTAATGACCCACTTCTCGGCTTCCTGACTGGCCAGGAAGCCAGGCTGCCTAGGAAAAAGTGAATCCGGCGTCCTAGCCAATCAGGGAGGCTGATAATTGGGGCACAATGCACCGGTACTCAGTATCGGCGAGTACCGAAAAAAAATATCAGTACTCCTCAATACCGAAAAACCGGTATCAGTGCATCCCGACTGATAACGGCCGCCAGGACAAATCTAGAGTGTGACTCTCCATAACAGGGACCAGACCGCAATAGAAACCTGACAGATGTTCTAATCCCTCTACACTATATATAAATAACGTTTTGGCTTCAGTTGCATTTAAAGCTACTATTATCAGAGTCAATAGTGTAGTGGTTAGCGTACACGCTTGCCATTGTCAAGGTTGAAGGTTCTAATCCAGGGCCGTGTAGAGTAATAGATAATGTTTACTGTTATCCTAAAATATCTATTGACATATTTTATAGCCTTGTGCAAACACAGAAAATTTAGATTTTCATTGTAGAGATGTATATTTATACACATTATTGCATGCAATCTTCACGTCCTAAATAGCACACACAATGTATGTAACCATATTAATTATCACAGCTTGTCTGTTCTCAGGAAATAAGTGACCATCACAAATGTGTGCCATATAATGCCCCTAATGGACTGGTTAAATTTTGATAAATAAAAGGTTATCCCACAAAATGGCTGCTTACATTTGGCAGATCCACTTTAAAGACACTGCCTGGCCAAAAAAAAAAGTCACCAGCGGGATTTCAAGCAGTGTTATAATCTGGGATTGGTCAGGTCTAGGTTCAACAACGTTATGTCCCCAAAAAATGAGGTCAGCTGTCTACCTGAATATACTGAATGACCAGGTTTTTCCATCAATTGATTTTTTCTTTCCTGATGGCACATTGGATATTTTCCAAGATGACAATGACAGGATTGATCGGGCTTAAATTGTGAAAGTGGTTCAGGGAGCATGAGACATCATTATCACACATGGACTGACCACCACAGAGTCCAGACCTTAACCCCATTGAGAATCTTTGGGATGTGCTGTAGAAGACTTTACACAGTTGCCTGACTCTCCCATCATCACTACAAGATCTTGTTGAAAAAAATGAATGCAAATCTGGACAGAAAAAAAAGTTTTGACATTGTATAAGCTTATCAAAACAATGTCACGGCGAATGTGTGCCACAATCAAAGCTAAAGACAGTCCAATGAAATATTAGTGTGTGAGACTTTTTTTGGGCCAGGCAGTGTATATCGGTCACATTTGCAATATTTCATATAGGATTCCTGTCCTTATATCAACTAGATCTAGTCACCATTCTTTTCCTGTTTATTAATCACCATTTTCTCACAATGCATGGCTGGCCCAAGTCTCTATGTGAAATAGCAGGAAGGGAAATGTTATATAATATGTTAATACACTCCATTTTACTTTGTCTATCAGCTCTCTCTTATGATTCTAAGTGTTGCTTTATGTAATGATTGTATTATTAAATTACAGTTTGTTTTATGGCATAATCAGTGGTTTTTAACGTACAAGCAAAATGGCTGTATCTCCACTTTTGCAGTCAAAATTGAGAAAACATACATGAGCATACATAACAATGTGAAAAAAAAATCTCATCTTTTAGATGTCTCCATTTGGCAGGCATTTGCATGTTCCTCTCTGAATTTCAGTAACCGCAAACTCTGACTGTACTAATAGAAAGACTTGGAACAGACTGAGCTCCCCTCATGAACATACAATGTTTATAGGGCTGCAACCCTTTCTTAGGACAAACAATCCAACTCATCTAGTTTACAAGTGATAAGGAAATCTGTCATCACAGTACAGTCAGGGTTAATGGTTTAAAACAAACATCCTCCAACCCCCCCCACCAGACAGTGAGAACTAAGCAGGATTTTTTTAGTCCTGGAGTTGGCACAAAGAGCATCTTAAAAAGTAAGGTGACATTTTTTTTAAATAAAGAGGAACTCCAAAAATGTAAAACATTAACCCTTGCAGTGGGGCTACCCCCACACTACAAGGGTTAACTGCTCATTTTTCTCTAGGGGCTCAAATAAAAGATCCCATGTAGCTGATAGACCGGTCCCTGCAGCATCTCCTCCCCACAGGCCCTGGAAGTCTAAGCCCTACTGACGTAATCAAGTTGAATACAGTCCATTCACCTGTATTAGACATTAGGATACCAAGGGACATACAACAGCCAAAGCAGATGGAAGCAGAGAGGTGAGCGCTGACTGCTGCAGGACCAAGCATCAGGCGAGCATATCTTCTGAATGTCGGTCCCTACAGAAAAATTAGCCGTTAACCCTTGCAGTGCATGGGGTAGACCCACTGCAAGGGTTAATTTTTTTATATATCTGGAGTAGTTCTTTAAAGTTATGCTATGTGAATGGGAACATGTAACAAATATAAATTGGTATTATCTCAATTTGGCTGCAAAAGTGGAAATACACTTTAAAGTAGAACTCACAATCAAACCAGTTCACAGAAATTATTATTATTATACAAGATTTATATAGCGCCAACAGTTTGGGCAACACTTTACAAAATAGGGAAGATCATTATAATTGCAATACAATTCAAGACAAGATAGTAAGGAGTGCCCTGCCTGTGAGGGCTTACAATCGAAGAGATTGCTTATAGCTAATACCTTTCTGTAAAATCCGGCCTTCATCCCTTGAGTGTTTTATAATATACTGAAACCAAAATCAATATGCTCAAACTGCTTGCTAGGGTGCGTATTAAGAACCCCTGATGCATTGGTTGCTGTGATTTATTCTAGTGGTAAGCTTTAATGTGATCAATCCTTCTCCAATCTTGGGCTCTGTCCTTCCTCAATGTTTAGGTTCCAAAACGATCAGGTGGCGGGATTTTGTAAGACTGGGAAGGATGCATGGGATCGGTATGAAAATCATTGCTTGCTTCCTCAATCTGCTCACTGATTACTTGTGTTTGCTTTGTCTGTATTGATGTGTGCGCGCTTTGCTTCATTTTCAAATCCGCCTTCTCTTTTGTTGGCTTTGTTGATTAAATATAAAAGCACTCTCATTCTTGGGCAGAATGTTACCAGGAAACAGTAGGGGAAAAAAAAGTTTTTTCATTTATGTTTACTTAAAATATAAAAAAACAACATTATATGGGACTTTTCAGGTGACAGTCATATACTACATCTTATCTTTATAAAGTAAACATTTTAAGTGCATTGAGTACAACCCATAGAGAAGAAAAAAAGAAAAACCTCCTAAAACAGAATGCTATGCCCACAGTTACCAACCGTTGATCCAGAGGAAGACAAAAAAAACCCTATAACGCATGGTTCAATTTGCTCCAACAGGGGGGAAAAAATTCCTTCCTGATTCCAGAGGGCAATCGGATATTCCCTGCATCTACAATCTCATGTGTTTATTTTACTTATAAAATGTTAATATATACTTATATTCTGTACATTTAGGAATTCAGATTTTTTTTAAAAAACACAGTTAACTGAGCTAGCTAGAACTAGCTCCTGGGGCATTATATTCCACATTTTCCCAGCTCTAACAGTGAAGAATCCTTTCCGTATGCAAAGGTTTAAACCTATTTTCCTCCAGATGCAACAAGTGTTCCCTTGTCCTTTTGCAGTGACCTTAAAGTGAATAGTTTTGCGCCAAGCTCACTATATGGACCATTTATGTATTTATACATGGTGATCATGTCACTCCTTAATCGCCTCTTCTCCAGAGAGAACAAATTCAGGTCAGTTAATCTCTCCTCATAGCTGAGCTACTCCATGCCTCTTATGAGTTTAGTTGCCCTTCACTGCACTTTCTCCAGCTCCACAGCATCCTTTTTGTGAACTGGTGTCCAAAACTGAACTTCATATTCCAGATGAGTTCTCACTAATGCCTAATATAGGGGCAATACCCCTTTTCATACAAGAAACTATTTTACTTGCTTTAGAAACTGCAACTTGATATTAAAATACATAAATCATTTCAAATTACAATACTTTGAAGTACCATAAATAGCAGTAAGACAAAAGATGTGCCACCGAACAAAGCCCTTGTAATTTTTGCAAAGCCTCCTCCATTATATACATCAGATTTGATTGAACATTCACTTAGGTTATATATTCATACAGACATCAAATGAACCAGAAGGGATCGACCATATATCTGAATTTGACACGTTTCACAGTTTAAAGTCGCTGCTTCTTCAGGATCAGTGGGGACCATGCAGTATCATGTTTTAAAATATTCAAAAAAGTAGAGTGTGGTCGAGCGTGTGATTTCCTAATTTAGCTTAAAAACCATCCCTCATATGCACACCGGAGGTCCCAGAGATCACTAAGTGACCCAGAGAGTGAGGCATCTATGTGCCTTTTAACTGAAGTTCTATACAGAGATATTTCTAAAAGTGTTCCAATAGAGGAAGCCAGGGGTTCAAATAGACTTTGGATAAATAGAATTAATCCAGGTGTGTTGTCCAAATCCTTGGATATTGTGATACAAAACCTCCTCTCACTGAATAAGGGTTGGTGGAATAAAATTCTCTCTTGTAATCTAGGCCTCAGTCAAAGAATCCTCACTAACTAGGGAGGCATCACCAGAGCAAGTCCACAAAGGTCACTTAAAGTATAACTGGCCGAACAGTTATTGGGGGTAAAATCAAGGATCATTTTTGACCTCAGTGGTGATAAAAAAAAATCAGAGCAGCAGGAATGAAAATGTTTCTGTAACAAACAAAACTCTCTGCTGTAATTAGGCAGCTCCTCTTGGTCAAGGACTTGAGCTGGCCATACGCCAGTAGAATTTTGTTTGGAAAAAAAAAAACATTTTCGGAGCATTCGTTCCATTTTCTAATAGGTAATGGGTTCAAATCTGTATTGTTTTAGACTGCAGTGTTGAAAAAATTTGAAGGATGGGAAATTTTTCTGGAACTAACAAAATTCTAACCGTGTATGTAGTTTTTTTTGTTCGGGGAAACCCATTTAATTCCAAAATTAAATATTAAAATCAGTTGAGATTGCAAATGACATTTGTCAAGTATCTGATGTCATCATTGAATGTTCTGATGAGATTTTTCACATGAACCTTGTAGAAAAATCTGTCATTGTATGGCCATTTTAAAGTGACACTCGGGAGTTGAATCTTAAAATTAGAAACTCTCCGTCAAGGTCAATGGCGATGAGTCATTTAAGTGTGACCGGACACTGATAATTTATGCAGGCTATTGAAGCTGTTCTTCAGAACAATTATCAGCTCCTCATACAATAGCCATGTGGTTATGATTCACAATGACATGGTCTTGACTCTGTTCAGGAGATGTGAGGACACACAGGCATAAATTACAAGAGAACTCAATAGAGCTTTGAATAAGTATTGCCAATGGTACAATGATGCAATTGATTTACTAAAAGCAAATAGGCTTTGCAACTGAAGCTCAGTGAATGAGGTGAAGCTCTGCTTCCACCATCCAAACATGTGCAGGCAAAAATACTGTTTTTCATTTTATTTTCCTTGCATGTGATTGGGTATTCATTACAAAGTGAATTTTCACTACATTATCAAAGCTAAGGGAGAATTCCCCTACAAAGTGAACAACCTACTTGCCTTTAGTAAATCAACCCTATTGTGCTAATTCTTGTTCTTATACCTCACCTGTACAGCAGGAACATTATTAAGTTAAAAAAAGTTTTAATCTTATATATAAACTGATATTAATTAGGTATATCAACTAATGTTGGTAACTCGTCAGTTACAAGGGTCCTATTAACTGTAAAATTCCATCTCCGAGGCAAATAAATTTCTAGTTAAACTTTTTGCTTATTCAGGTTCCTTCAGAGGTCTGAAATGCTTAAAATAAACTTGAGCTTTGTAGTGCAAAGCAACAGTGGAGTGTATCCTTCCCAGATTTGTTTCTACAAATGTTCCTGGTTTTTAGTATTAGCCAGTCATTATGTTTTCCTCATGTTAGACCTGATCTAGAATGTGCAATATGCCAAAAAAGAACGTTCTATGTTTATTTTTTATACGTGCCATTTAATATAGAAGACTCTATTCAGAGTTCAGCAGTAAAGAGTCTCTAGATATTATTTTAAACCACTGGCACTTTTTTTCCTTCTTCCTCATAGTTAAAGCAAACCCCTCAATCTAACACCTATAAGAACATGAGAAAATAAAATCATTCTCACCTAGAAAGTTCTTATTCGGCTCCATTTTACACTCTCCCCAGTGCAATGTCAAAAATGAAATATCTGAGAGCCATAGGACAGGAAATACAGCAAGAAAGCCAATAGTAATGTGACCTTTGCACTCTAGGCTCCATCCATTTACTATCTTCATCTGTTTCATGCAAAAATAGATTTGCTTCGATGGTCCTTCTGCCTGATGGGCAGAACTAGACAACAACTAGACCACCTAGAAAAGCATGGTTGATTTTTCATTTATTTGTGATGCTGATGGAAGAAAAAGATTTTCTGTAGCTGTGCAGAGCTTCATAGTCTGGGCTACCTCTAGAGTAACAGTAAGTCTGGTAATCTCCAGTTCGGTTATAATTACGACCAAAAATGGGCGTATGCTGCCAGGAGTGGAGATTATAGAGGAATCTTTGGTGAAACTGATAATACTAAAGGGCAATTCTACACAACAAACTAATCATTAAGTATGCTTCTGAGCTAGACTGCAACCATGATTCAAGCTCCATTAGGCCTCATCTTTTAAAGTAAACCTGCCATCTCCCGGCACCTATTAAACTGCTATCAGACAGTATATAAAACACTTAGGTGCACTTGAACACAATTTTAAACATCTTAATTCTTGAATGCAGATGGGCCTTTTAAAACGTCCTTTCCCGATCCCGATTGTGGGGCGGCATGCACCAGCGGGAAAACTGACAGTATTTTAAACAGCCAGCGATGGCTGTTTTACATACAAGCTTTTGGGCGACTATAGAGCTTGTTTGTTGCATGCAAGTGTGCGCCTCCCCCTCCGCCGGCGGCTATCCCGGGCTCCACTGTCCCCCATGCGGGCTTGGGGCCCGGCATGGCGGGCCTCTGAACTGAAAACGAAAGGAGATCTGCACATGTCCTCCCACTGATCTCCCCTCCAATCTCTGAAAGTGGAAGTGATGTGTCTACACACACTTGCAAACGCAAACATGTGTCGGGTGTGCCTACGTGCAAAAACAATGATTGCACCAATTGTGCCACACGTTACAAATCACCACAAACATCAGAGTGCGAGGAATAATTGTAGGGCCATGAATCACTGTTAAAGGAGAACTATGGGATAGTGTTTTCCCCCATAGTTCTTAGGGTAATGGGAGGACACAAACTAGCGTCCTCCCGTTACCCTAAGCTCAGTATACCGCGAGCTACAGCTCGCGTTATACTGAGACGCCGGAGTGGATCCCGACATGGACGTCGGGATCCGCCCAGCTGCGTGAGTGACAGCTTGCTCTGCCTATCTAGAGGCAGAGCCAGCTGTACCCGCCCCCTCCCCCATCCGTTCCGCCAGTCAGCGCTGGCAGATCGGAGAGGGGAATCCAGCCCCTCCCCCTGTCACGGCAGAGAGCCGTGACAGGATCGAGAGGTGAGCGAACCCGGTATGTGTTCGCTCACTTCCCGATCTACTGAGCCGACCTGTGACAGTCTCATTGTCACAGGTCGGCTAGAACTATGAGGTGAGTGGAAATCACTCATGTCATAGTTCTCCTTTAACACTGAATTGATAAGTTTTTTAAGCGTTGCCGATGGCCAATTTTTGGGTATTGTAGGTTTTTGCGATTCAGCGGACGCACGCAATTTTAAGGGTTGACATATAAGGTGTCTATTTACCCGATATGACCCCAGCTTTTATATTTTACCAAAAATTGGGTAATATCAAATGTTTCATAACAATGTAGGGAAAAGTAATTTTTTTCAAAATTTTTGTTACTTTTTTCTTTATATAGTAAAAAATAAACCACCGCAGTGGTGATTAAATACCACCAAAAGAAAGCTCTATCTGTCCCCAAAAATTATATTTTCAGTACAGCGTTGCATGACGGAATAAATGTCAGTATCGCAGCACTGAATACTGAAAACTGGCCTGGAGAGGAAGGATGTTTAAGTAATAAAATGCTCTGTGTAAAGGAAGTATGAAGGAAGTGATCCTAGCAGAAGGGTGATGCTGGCATGCCAAAGGGTTGTGCGTCTACAGGATCCAATGATGAAAATCAATTCTGAATTGTGAATATGACTTCACCTACTCATGCCAACTGTCACTTAACATATTCCATGCTCTGTGTAGCTTGTCATATTAATATGCCTGCTCTTTTCTAAGGATTCACTAATACTTACTGCAGCCTTTGTGTCCTAGTTCATCCATCTAGAGAATCTTTCTACAATACAGAAAACTGATTTCTAATTAAATATATCTGTCTGCAGAATAACAAACAAGCCTCCACCAAGTGTTCCAAGAAGAGACTATGGGCCAGGTAAAAGCAGAAATATTTCCAAAGATCATATATAGAATTAACAGTCCTTCCTCTTCTTTTTTTAAATTTTTTTAGTTTCCTAAATGCTATCTTGTCTGCTTTTATCTTCAGGTCCACAGGATGATGAGAATGACGATTGGTCAGATGAATTTGTAAGATCATTTTTTAAATAAGTTTTTTTTAAAGACTATTCCAATTACTATTTTTACTTATATGCATTTACTTTACATTGAACGATAGATAGCAGCATGTATACATGAACCTGGTGCCTTGTGTGTTGATCATTTAACCTGTTGGGAAGCCATACTTGACAAATAATGAGGTTCGTTAGTAGAAGGTGCAAGCCAATATCAATTTGCATGGGTTTTTGCCCTGCAGTGTCACCAATTCCTTTTGAAATGGCTCAATGCTACTTTTTCACCAAATGTGATGAATTGAAATGACTCCCTCAAATCTTCCATCTCTCCCCTCATCTGGAGTAACACTCACAAATTGGGAGCATTCATTGGTCAGCACACACACCAATGAGAAGTCCTTATCTGCATTCTTGTTCAGGATTAGAAACCCAAAGCATTAAATCAAGTGGGTCCGTATTCTCCGTATAAAAAAATATATATTCTAAGGGGGACTGGCTCAACTGTTATTGGCAGTGGCAAACCATGTACAAGACAGGGAACACCCAGGAACAGTCCATGCAACAGGGCAGCAAACAAACACAGTTCAGTGCTGTAGGGTTATGTGCAGCACATCCATAGCACCCAGAACAAGGAAAACATTTGCTTATATGGGTATACTAAGATAAACAGGTAAACTTAGTTCTGTTCCTGACTAACAGAGTACCTCCCAATTTACTCCCCAAAGCAGACAGCCCATGTCCAATTTTAGTGTTCTGTCAGCAATCAGCCTTTTCACCCAGCAGCAGAATCTCATAGCAGAGAGAGTGAGAGAGCCCTGAGCATCAGTCAACTCACATGTATAAAGGCCTATGGACAGCTGAGAACAATTGATGAGTAATAGATACAAGGTAAGATCTGGACCTAGGAACGGAGACTTTATCCCACCGCAAGATTTACAAACGTCCGTCCTTTTTAAAATTCTTCCATGACAGGAACCCTGGAGCCCCTCACCATGTGCAGGTAAGAAACCTAGGTGACACATATGCATCATCTTGCGACAAATGGCAAAGAATGCCTATTTTGCATCCCTTTGGATGGCATGACCCTAGTTTGGATAGGAAGGAAAGAATGAATAAATGTTAACTAGTGTGATGATGGTAGTCCAAAGCTGTGGCCCAGATCCTGCAATAGGCTCTGATTTGCTGTCACTCTATATTACAAAGCCTTATAGCACAGTAGGGGGTGGGTGGATCAGGCAGGTATGTGCATCCTATAAAATGATATGCTCTGAGTATTCTACGTTTTTATTGTTACTGGGCCTTTAACACTAACCTGTCTAACCTGTTTACCAATACTTTCCAATAATGCTGTACGAACAATCTGGACAAATTAGGCCAAATCCAGAATAGCCAACACCAAGCATCGCTGCCGATTTGGCTTCCAGAAATCAGGACTGCCCCACAAAAATCGGGACTGTCAGGGGGTATGCTTGATCTCAATTTTATGTTGTGTGATGCATGGCCAAATTACCCGACATCAATTAATTAATCTGAAATCCTCCTCAAATAAAAAATCCACAAATTGCTGTGTGATAACCTTTCTATGCTCACTCACTGCTAAATCAGTAATTGGCTTGCGCTTCACAAGAACTGCTGCATTAATACCATGGACATTATAGTGTTTTAGATATATCTTTTTTTTAACGGCACCTGGAACAAAGTGTTTCCCTACTGGTGAAATAAAGCTGAACTCTACGCAAGCTGCTAAATGGTACAGACGCATATATAATAGCTGTTATATCTACCAAAATACTTTTTACACAGCACTGTCAGGTAGCAGAGACAGGTTGGTGACCTCAATTTTCTCTGCTGCACCCCCACCCTGGGACTGGACAATACAATTTTTTTTTATCTGCCTGGAGTTCAGTTTTAAGTATTGTGACATGACCAGAAAATATAGTATCTTGTATTTTTGTACAGTATCTCACTGTTCCAACTCAAATTCATCACATTATTCCAAATAGTGGAGTTCCAAAAATACACAGAATTCACATTTGTAAACCTAAATTAAAGCATGCATGTCAAATATGTATTGACATAAATATATATCTATATCTTTCCTAATGCAGAATTAAAATGATGCTGCTTTTTAAGGGACAAATGTTGCCAAGTAGTAAATACTGGCATATCTTCTGTTCTATTGGTTAGGCTTGGAGTCACAACTGGCCTTTCCTGTAAATGTAAAAATACGTTAACCTCGTATGTATTATGAACATAAGGGATACATCTTAAAGAACCTTAAAGAACTTCATCATTTTGCTCCCCCGCTGAAATTACCAGGTGTCAAAATGACAGCCAGGAATTGCTTTATATGACAGCAGGAGCAGCTGTCAAAATGCAGCTACTCCTGTGTAACATAAGACATGCGGAGAGTTTGCAAGTTTCATTAAGTAAATACAAAGTAACAATTTATTATTTCAGTGTATTATACTATTTCATTCATATGTAGATCAACGTTGTGATTTTTGATCTGCATACGACACCAGTTATAATTTTAAAAAAAAGCCTTGGTTAATCAGCCCTCCCCTTCTCCCTATTATTTCTCTACTATATTTTTTTTAATTCCTACTATTTTTTTCCATTACTGCTTTGATTTTTTTCTTTTCAATATTTTTTTTTTCAGTGTTCCATAAAAAGAAACATTAAAAAAATCACCCTTTTTACATTTGCAAATAGCTTTGCCATGTTTTTTCCAGAAACATAATTTTAGTGTCATTTTAAACTTGATAATTTAAAGAAAATAAGTATACTTTTTATTTACAGTAAAACATTAAAAAAAGAAAACTAACACTTGTCAAATAAAAACTTTTTTTTACATCTTTTTGTCTATGTAGAAAAAATAGACTATATTTTAATTTTTTGTATTAAGTATTATTTTGTTATCTTAATGACGTCATCACCAAAGAAACATGCCCAACGTGGACATATAACCATATTAAGTGGTGAACCGATATGAGTGCTGAAGTGGTTAAGCTATATTATTAAAGCAAACCTGCACATTTCTCATTCATGGTAAAGTAAGTAAGTCCACTGGATATCCCACCTTCAGTTTTACTGATGCCTATCTCCCCCGTGTTCCCTACCCGCGCTGTTCACCTGCTGGTGTTCCAGGAAACATCTTGTATTTTCAGATGGGTTTACTTTTTACAATTTCTCTGTTTCTTCCCACGACGCTGCCCTAGAACTTATACAAGGCTTTTTTCTCTCTCTGAGAGGGGTGAATGGGGTGAAAGGGAAGCACGGAAAAGGTGATTATCAGTGACCTAAAGGCAGGTCAGTAGATTTGTTATAAATAGCTGCACATACTTGAAGCCTCTTTTGATATAATCTGCTGTTTCTTTCTTTACACCTTTGGATCATACCATTTGATCTTAATTATGTTGAAATGTTGCATATTTTTTTCACTCCTAGTTCTGTACTGTGATGATAGAGTGGAACTTCTTCCCCCCTATAAAGATATGATAGGTTACACTTAACAAAACCCTAAGAGTTCATTTAATTTCTGCTGAGCAGAAGGGCCCTATTTACAATACAGTGTTTGTAAGGGACTGTCCGGGGCAGAGGGGGTAATGATGAAGTCCAAAATTTGTAATGGCTGATGTTTTGCATTGTCTGGCCAACTGTGGACACCTGTGAGTGTGCAAAGCAGAACTGTAGAGTGAAAGTAGTGTGACTTTTGCTGGAAGGAATCACAAGACTTTTAACTGTTTAATTCAGTCTAGACTAAAGCTGTTTTAGCTATTACTACTAATGCACAGGTGTATAGAGTATTTAGTGCAGAAGGTTAAGCCATTACGGTCCGTTTCCGGCTTACACGGTGTTGCATAAAACGCCCTAGTCCCCTGTGCTGCCTCCATGTTTATTGTAAAATTCACATCAGACACCAGTCTTGCAAAGCTTCATGCTTAAGCGTTAATTCATATTGTATGAATAAGTGTTCAGACAGAACCAACAGGTCAGCAATACGTTGGCCTGGCATTTGAATTTTTAGGGGATAAGTGGTTTGCAGCGGAAAACTGGGTGGGTTTTTTAAAAATATATTTAGACATCTAATTATGGTTTCAATTTTCATGATAGAAATCACATCAACTGGCCAAATAATAAAGGAGTGGAGCTGTGCAAAACCATATCACTGGTTCATGTACCTAGGGCAAGATCTCAAAAAACGTGTCTGCTGGAAGAGGCTGACTTAACAAATGCAAAATAACCACTGCACGGTTTTGCAATACCAATGCAGCATAAAAATATGAAAAAGCTCATATCAGCTCAATATCGTTCATCCGACACTTAGAACAGGTACATAAAAAAAAAGAGATTACATTCCTTACGTTCCTTTTATTACACATAGCTGAACACTAGGCAGATTGTGTTAGATAAACAGGTACAAATTCTACTGATCGCTATCCACACCATAAAACGAAAACCTATCAAACAAGTCCTATGGCATTTCATGGTAATCCTTTCCTCCATGTATGAGTGATAAAATCATTACTGAGCAAACAGAAGAGTATTGGAGCAGTAATGATGTGAAGGTGGTAAGCAGAAGACTTTTTACATAAGTGCTCTCCAAATCTAAGGATTGCCGTTGATGCTACTAAAATTTGAGAAAATCAGAAGTGAATTTAGGTGAAGGGCAATCTTCAGGGTGAACCGATTTATTGTAAACAAGTAAAAAGTAGGCAACACATTTCAGGGGATTAAAGGCACCCCTTCTAAAGGCTAAAAGGTCCCACAAAATCACATATAGGATACGACTAGTCAAACATGTTCCAAGGAAGTACATTATTACACCACAGATTCCCCAGAACAACACAGAAAACATATCCTGACCTATATGCAGGACCACCAAGCACATCCTACAAAAGATGAGGAGTGATGTAACTAGCAAAATAATGCACCAAGCCAATATCCTTTACAAATCTTCTTTTAAAAAGTCCTTGACGTTCGGTAGATCTTTTATTTAGAATCAGTTTTGTTTTTTTCTTTTTGGAAGAATCCAATTTTTAGTTCTTAGGCACCACTGAAAACTTCTAGAAGTGTCGGAGGCACTCTCCTTGTCCACATCTGCAGCTTGAGCTTTTCTGGCCCTGATGCCACCAGGGTTCCAGCAGAGGAAACACCGCACAAAACTGTGCTCAGGAGTATTGTAAATAATCTAGTAAATATACGAGGGAGTATCAAAAATAAATGCCTGTTGTTTCATATTTTCTGTTCATGTGAATTTATAGTAAAATGCCTGATTTATGTCATACATATGGTCTAACCCAATCATTGTGCACTGCTGTGTTTTAAATTGTGTCAAGTGGATCATGGGTGAAAGGCTGAAACAAAGAGCAGTAATTGCATTTCTGACGAAAGAGGGTTGTTCGGCTGTTGAGATCCATACATGCCTGAAGAGTGTGTATGGTGATGCAGTAATTGACATGATCAATGTTAGGGGTAAAGGTTGTATAAAGTGAAGTTGTTGACAAGGCATTGAATGGCGCCATTCAAGCTCTCCTCATCCAAAAAACAAATGATGCAACATGATAGGGACTATGTTGAACGGTAACTTCGAGTAGAGAAATTTATAGGAAAACTGTATGTATGTTAATTGTTTCCATTTTTGCATATTAAAGGAGAACTATGAGCTGAGTGATTTTCACTCATCCTCATAGTTCTAGCCGACCTGTGACAATGAAACTGTCACAGGTTGGCTCAGTAGATCGGGAAGTGAGCGAACATATACCGGCGTTCACTCACTTCTCGATCCTGTCACGGCAGAGAGCCATGACAGGGGAGGGACTGGATTCCGCCCTCCCCTGCATGATCCTCCAGCGCTGACTGGCGGAACGGACGGGGGAGGGCGTGGGTACAGCTGAGCCAGCTGTCACTTACGCAGCTGGGCGGATCCAGACATAATTGTCGGGATCTGTTTCAGGTGCGGCGTCTCAGTATACTGCGAGTTGTAGCTCGCGGTATACTGAGCTTAGGGTGACGGGAGGACGCTAGTTTGTGTCCTCCCGTTACCCTAAGGAGAACTATGGGGAAAAGCCCTAACCCCATAGTTCTCCTTTAAACATTGTATATCTCAACAGGCATTATTTTTTGATACCCCCTTCATATATTGGCACATGTAAGCCCATTCTTTGAATGGGTTCATTCAGAGTGTGTAAGTATATACTGTATATATTTATACACGCAATTACATACAGCATGTGCATCAAATTAAATAAAAATAGATACATTAAAACACATTCTTGATATCCATGCTTGCATTTGTATTCAGTCTTTTTGTACTTGTTTGCAGGGAAGTGACTATGAGAATCCAGATGACCATTCTGATCATGGTAAAACATATGTGGATCCTACTGAAGATCCAGATGAAAACTATGAACCTCCACCAAATGAACCAGAGCCTAGATTCACCCCATCCTACAAGTTCACTGACAGAAATGGAGGCTATGCCGGTAAATTAAAACCCCCTACACATATTCCAGTAAGCCATGCACAGCATATGAACAAAAATAGTGACTGTGCCCCAAGGAAGAAGATGGCTGTGTGCAAACTTCTACCAGAAACCATTTCAGCTAAAATTTTGTTTGTAGTTGGAGAATATTATAGCTGTGCAACATAATTCGGTGGGGAGGATATTAGCAGGGACTATGGGGCTGTACGTCGGTATTCTCAAGACACCTTTTGCACTTACATTTATATATATATATCACTTCTATTAGTTGGCTAGAGCAGCCATTTACTATTTAGGGTTCGTTCACACAAGCAGGTGCATGTTATGGTGTGCATAACGTACACAAGCTGCCTAGCACTACGATGTGTTCTTACAACTCATAGCAGTGCTTGTTTTTTCCCCCTTTTTTAACTTCTATTTATTTCATGCACAGTAACGTGCTGCAATGCAATTCTTTGGTGTAAACTGGACACATAGACAGCAATTGTATTTGCTGTGTCCTTGCATTGAATAAAAACAAGTCCTTATACATTTCAAAGTCTCTTTTAGGATAATCCTAAATTAGCAGTAGTAGTAACTTGCAAAACAAATGATTATCCGCGCTATAGTGCTCTGCCCCAATCTCCTCAAAAACACCCTATTGACAGCTGCAGAGATAGAGAGAAGCTATATAAACTTATCCCACAATATACAACATATTCACAACATATTCACTCCAACTTATATATAGTCCATATAAAAATATTCCCAAAGTTGATGTGATTAAAAATAAATGTGATGAAATCCTTGTGATGTAAAGAAAGTGAACACAAGGATTTCATCACATTTATTTTGAATCACATCAACTTTGGGAATATTTTTATATGGACTATATATAAGTTGGAGTGAATATGTTGTATAATTGTCACTAAGTATATGCACTTAGAGTTTTATAATAGTAGTAGTAACTTGTATGCTGTTAGCCATCGATTTAATGTTTGGAGTTTGTTATACCCTATATTGGCAAACTTAAGTTCCCTTCTTCAGGTTTTAAGTCTAAGGAAGTCCCAAAAGCTTGCATATTTAAAACCTTTGTCAGGAAA